TAAGAGACAGCTCCCCCCCCCATGCTGCTCTGTGCTTCCTGGTAGCACAAAGGGATGCAAACATGTATGGAGATGGGACCAGTATGTCATCAAAGACTCTCTTTGCTGTGACAGGGGCTGATGTCTCTCAGACTAAATTCTTAGGTCTCAATCTTAGGCCAGGAGTGGTCCTTTTCTAAGCCCAGATCTGTGCATAATCATTTCCAGAGGACATGTGTAGCTTTAGGCATAGGCTTGATTCTATCCAAATAGTCTCTGGACCCAGGATCAGCTGGGATATTATGGTGTCTGCAACTTGTCCCTAGAGGATGTCTCAGTGCAGTGCACAAGTGATCTAGCTTTTCCCCATTACCCTCTCCCTTAGCTCAAGCTGGAGATGTACTAGATAACTCTTATAAATTCCTGATTTCCATGATACAGCTGACAGTACTGCTGAAGCACACCTGGGCTTTGCCCTGGAAAATACACTGCACTGCTGAGGTTGGGGAGCTGGATGGGACCGTGATCTGCTGATCCTGGTTAGATACATAAACCACAGGACAAGGTCTTACAAGCTGCCAGTCAAGTGAATTTTTACCTGTTCTAAACCAGGGGGAACATTGAAACGAGAGGAGCATTTGCACAAGGATAAAAATTTGTTGCCTACCAGCTGGAAGAGGTTCTCCCAGAAGTCCTGCGTCATGAGGCGGAAGAGGGCCAGGAAAGCCCAGCTGAAGGTATCGTAGCTGGTGTAGCCGTAGTTCGGGTTCCTGCCCGCCTTCATGCACTGGTACCCTTCAGGGCACTTCCTACCAAAGGAGCCGTGGGGGCAGCTGGCATGAGACCCCAGCGCTGCCCCTCCTGCACCCGCAGCCAAACGCTCCATCCCTGGAGGTGCTGAGCTGCTTCAGCAGGATGCCCCATCCCCCAGGCTGATACAGTGGGGATGTGTCGGGACTGACACCACCTTCCCTGATGCTGATACAGTTGGAATGCCCGGACTGATACCCCCCCACCCACACCCCCAAGCCGATATAATTGGGATTCCTGGACCATTCACCTGCAGAGCCACATTTCCAGCCCCAACCCTGTCCCACCAAGCATCAGTGGTTCCCAGGCTGTGCCGGCTGCCTCGTCCCCTCCCAGGGAGCCAGAGGGGACCTCAGCCACCAGCGTAAGCTGCACTCACCCAGCATCACTGCTGTTCCCACACAGCAGGGCATCAAGCGCTCCATCCAGAAAGTAGAAATTGGCTTCACAGTTGGGGAAAGAGCAAGAGATTTAAAAAATAATAAATACAAAGATTGATTTTCAAATTCTTGGCAGCTCTTTGCTGTCAGGGAAATCTCCTGAATCCCAGTATTGGGCACTGGGTTATCTCTCTGCTGACTTTGCTATTTGCCTTGAACTACTTGGCACTATCTTGGAGAGCTCATGGCGTTGTTTTGTCAACCCAACTAGATGTCTCTCAAACCCATGAAGAGCTTTGGAAACAGCCAGGTTGGACAGAGTCAAGTGTCCTGGGAATGAGGGTTAACATGTGGTCAAAGGACCAGGGCTGGTGTGTTTTGCTGGGAAAACATATGAAATAGCAGGACATTCCCAGGGACCACCGAGCATGGAGGACTGGGGAAACGGCCTGCTATTGCTCCATCTCTATCGCCTTCCTCCTGCTGCTCCCATCCCAGCCAGCCTGGTGGCGAACCCCACCCTGCTCACAGGCTGCCATACGGTACCACCACAGGACACCTGCCCCAGGGACACACAGATGAGCACCTGGACGCACCCACCCCAGAACATGGCGGAGGGAAGCTGGACCCCATCCTGGGCATCACCTAGCAGAGCCCTTCCAGGAGCCACACAGCGATTTCTGGAGCTCCCTCAAAGCACACCCAGCTTTGTCTGGCTTCTTGCCACCAGGGTTTTATCTAACCTACATGGGCTCATCAAGGAGATGGCCCACTTGTGAAACTCCAGGTAATATATTTTTTGCCTGGCCCCAATAGCTGTTAACCTGAATGCATGGCCACAGGGTGCTGTTGCTATTTGCACTGCATTTATTAGATCCTATGTATTGAATTTGCACCCCTACCAAGAAGTCTTCTTTAATTAATGCCAGAGATACTTGTACAGCTGGGCAAAGCAGGTCAGCCAAGACATAACCTGACCTTCTGCTGTGCTCTGCCTAGTGCCCTAAATGAGACTTGAAACACCCCTGTGGAGCATCCCACCACCATGCAGCTCTGCCAGACAGATTTTTCTGAGATTTTTACATTTTCATAGAGGTTAAAAACCCCAAACCAAAGAACAAACAAAAAACCCACTGTGCTTTTGTTGGCCAAACTTGTTTCAGAGGAGTGGTAGGAAAGTAGTAAACTGGAGACCTGTCCAAGGACCTGTGCTTGATCCCACCTCTCCCTCCTTCCCCTCCTGTTGGCTGTTGTGTTGCTGCATGCTTGCATGCAATGCTCACTGGACATAGCGGTACTTGGGGAAGGACCCAGCTGTGATGCAGCAGTGAAAGTGGGTGAGAAATGTAATTCCTAGTCCCATCTGCTTCTGAGGGTCTGCTGTGACCAGCCAGATGGAGCAGCTATTCACCAGTGCCCACCCTGATGGGGAGATTGTGCCCTCACTAGCAAGTGGGAGAGATGGAGACACTGGTTTGTCGAGGTCTTCCCATGGTGAAACCTCTGGAGGACTTTAGTTTGCCCAGGTGGACTGCATATTCCTTGGCAAAGAGGATTTGATGCCATCTATCCGTTCTGTGAGTATGCTCAACCCCTGTTTCACCCACCAGCCACATCTCCCTGAAAAGCACCTCGGCAGGAAGATCCATGCAAACAAACCCTCCTGGTCTGACACAGAGGAAGAGAGAGGAAACTGAGGAGCAAAACAGGGTGATGGGTCAATGGAGAAGAAGATGCATGAGTATTTACCTTCATCATTGATGTAGGCCTCAAAATCAAAGGTGCTATTGCTGGTGAAGTTGCTGGTGAAGTTGCTGGTGATGCCATCGGTGAAGTTGCCGTAGAGTGTTGCATTGGCCAATGTGTCGTTGTTCAGCCCCAAGTCTCCCAGCAGAGTGTCGTTGAGGGGGGGCCACCGCACACACTTCTGCCGGAGGTTCCCCATGAAGAGTTGGAGACCGATCAGGGCAAACACGCTCAGGCAGAAGACAGTGAGGATCATGACGTCCGAGAGCTTCTTCACCGACTGGATCAAAGCCCCAACGATTGTCTTCAGCCCTAGGGGGGAGGCATCACTACTGAGCTAATTGCTCATCTGTTAGTTGTGGAGAACGTGCTGTGGTGTTCCCAAAAGGTAGTGGATTTGCTGGGTACTCGTAGTATCACCAAGTTCACCCCATGTGCTCAGACACCCAGCTCTGTACCCTATGTTGCATCCCAGCTGCCCCTCTGTCTCCACACATTGCTGGGCAGCATAAACTCTTCCCCAAAACTTGTCACCCCTGGACCAGTGCCAGTCAAGCCTCCCTATGCCAAGCGTAACTTGGGTATCACAAACCAAAGCACACCCCAGCCTGGCATCCATCAATTTCTTTTGGCTTTATGTTTTCCTCTAATGCCACAATCTGGCCTTTTTTGGCCCAAACCATTAGAGTAGACCACTTGGCTGTGGCACAGGGAAAAGCTATTTGCCAGCCCATCTGGAAGATGCTGAGCACTTCTCTCAGCTCCAGAAAAGCCTCCATGGCCGAACACCCCCACATGCTGTTGTCCCGTGGGTGGTTGGGAGCCCAGCTGAATCCTCTAGCCTGATCCCGTCAAGCTGGAGAAACCCCAGCATGTCCAAGTGAAGGTGACAAAGTGACATCTGCATTAAGCATCGGGATTAACTCATCTCTCCCCCCACAGCATTGCCATTTCTTCTGCAGAGAAAGTTTGCCCACAGATCCTTATTGGTCTTTAGACACGGAGGATGTCGTTCCCGTCACCCGAGGTCAATGTGGATGATGGGTGATGATGGGACATCCTGACGTTGATCTTAAAAAAGCAGCTCTGAGCACAGAGCTTTCCCACATAGAGGAAATTCTCCAAAGACGCGTGATTTTTAGTGCTGTCATCATGCCAGTGTCATGTCCGTCCCCCCCCCCCCCCCCCC